ATTTCATATTTCAAGGTCTTTATTGTTTTCTTTCACAGTGAAATATTTATATATTGTATATATTTTTTTGCAGTTCTGTTTCGATCACGATTTTTTTATGCATGTGACAACCTGAGGCAAGAAAAAAATGTCTAATAATTGGCGGGAAAAATGGTCATTAAACTTTGTCGCCTGCACACGTTTTTTGCTCGCAGTAGTTCATTCGCAAAGCAACATCAATGCTATTGCAGCAACATTGCCAATAGTATGGCATGGCAATGTTGCCAGCAAGCAGTCGACACTATCTTGTCGCCCCCTAAGTGAAATTGTTTAATTAAATTGAACGTTTATATACAAGTGTAGTACCAACATTTGTTGACTATTTACCATTATTTGCAGTTTGCAGTTTGCAATCTTCAGTTTATGGTCATTTTCTTCTATAAATGCATAGTGTGGCGTATGTTTAAAGTTTATTGACTTGCATGCAATTTGCAAGTCTTAAATTGCAAGCTAAAGCAAATCAGGCAGTTTCTTTTTATGTTTGCTTAACCTTTCATATTTAAGTTTTTATATATTTAATAATTATTTATATATTTTTTATTAAAGTTTAGTATTGTCAATATTGTTGTTTTGGCACACTTTGTGGTATATCCTCATTTTTTCGCATGTTTAGTAAGGCGGTATAGCAATTTCACTGTGTCAGTGAGAAAAGAAAGGTCAGTTAAGTTTGAACTTTCGTGTCACAAATTTTTACTATAAAAGAATAGTGATTGAATTGCTAACATATGTGTATATATGTGTCTTTAATACCATATTTTTATGGATTTATTTTTCTTTTAGATGATTAGTGATATAAATAAATTATTAATATATGGAAAAAGTGTATATATATTTTTTATGTTGCTTATAATTATTTGTAAAAAGTCGATATAATTTAATTCATATTAATTGAATTAAAATGAATGCAGATTAATTGAATAATTTAATTTAGTTTATTGTAATTTAACAGAATCAAATTGATTTTGATTAAATTTAAGATAATATAATATGTATTTTATTAAAGTGTGTTTCTACAAACTCTTTATTTATTTTATATAGTTTTTTTTTTCTATAAAAATTTTATTGTTTCCAATTTTATTTGGCTTTTGATGTTTGTAGAATAGAATAAATATAGAATATAACATAATAAAATAAATAAAAATAAAGAAACTTATAGAGTTCTTCTTTTAGATATGCAACCCTTAATAACGCACATATTTCAAATTAAATCAATTTATTTTAATTAATCTTAAATTATTTAATTTAATTTGATTTTCTTTTTATTTTGATTGAATAGTCTGGAAAAGGAACGTAAGGGAAATAATAACCCATAAAAAATTATAAAAAATATTAGAAGTGGAAGATGGTAATAAAAAATGGACATACAAAATTAAAAAGAGAGAAATTCAAGAAAGAAATAGAAATATATGCATAAATATAGATATTTAGAGAAACAGGGGTAGAAGAAAATGGCAAGGTATACTAATAATAGAAAGAAAAAACTAAAATTGGATAGCAACAGATCGATTGAGAATGAATGAGGGAAAAAGGTAACACATGTTAAAATACCACAGCATTTTACTAAAAATATTTAAATAAATATTTAAGGTGCGCTAATTCTGAGCTTCACATTTGGCAGGACCCGAGTTCGATTCCTGGTACTTGTATTCTCAAAAAAAATTGTTTACGAATAATTAAACACAAGAATTATTTTCAAGACCACTGATGATGGATATTTGGCAATACTCGAAACAGCTGTATGGTCAGCCAATCAATTAAAATAATATAAAAATGAATTTTTGTTGTTGTAGTTCACTACTGTTCGAAAAAACCTCTTTAGTAAATATTTATAAAATTATTTTTCTATCATAAATATCTTACTCCTTTAATTATATTTTAATTGATATGCGAATACTTTAGTTTGTTGTCATTCAAAATTTGGGGTGATTTAACAATATCTGCAATGATTTTAAAAGTTTGATTTTATATGGTTATGAGGATATAAATTAAACTAAATTAAACTAAATGGGACAAATGAGGCATTGAAGAAATCAATTCAAAAAACAAATTTAAAAAATGTATAAAATTTAAAACAACAACAACAACAAAAATTATAGTTAATTTATTGAAATTTGTCTAATTATATAACTCTGTTTCAAGTATTGCCAGGACCACTCATCATCAGTGATGTTAGGAAATATTTGAATTTTTTAATTACTTTATAGTCTGTATATAAATTGTTTAAACTTTTTATTGTTCTTATTCATAAAGAGTTTTGTTTACTTTGCAGTACTCTTAGTAGAATAAATGTTCTACATTAAATATCAGAATAAGTCTGGCAGACTTTGAACTGACATTTAAAACACTACTAAGTACAAAAGTGTGTTTTAATTTCATTTAAAAGAATGTTAATTAATTAAAAAAAAATATTTATGAAATTATTTAGATTAGAGAACATATCCCTTTTAGGTACTACTACTATACATTCCAACTTTATTTTTTATTTTTATTATTTGTATATTTTAAGTCAGCCCAAAAATTTACTTAAATAAAATTAAATTTTGAAATTAAAATTTTCCTTGTCTTAATAATTAAAATAGATTGCTTGTCATGGCGGTGTTAAATTATTTAAATAAAAAGTGATTATAACAAAATTTTATCTACTGATTTTATTTTAGTTATTCATATACCATACAAGTTGCAAAAGTTGTCTGATCAAATTGAAAAAAGCTTAGTTGACTTAAAAAGAGCAGGTTCATTGTGTTAAAAACTTGTTTAAAAATTTTCTGTGCAATTTAATGTCACATTTAAATCACGTGTTAATTGTATAAATCAATATAATCAATACTGAATGATTTTAATATTTTCCAACTCGATTTCACTGCATTTTTAATTAAATAAAGTCGATTTATGCAAAACGATTTTACTCGTGAATTCATGAGAAAATTTAATTTCCCTTAACTATTAAAAATTGCATAATTTATTTCATAATATTTTTTTTTTTACAAATGTCTCCAGTGCAAATAATAAATCATTATTTTATGTTCTCAATCTATCCTAACAACATCTGATACGTGTACGTGTCTGCCACTTCTTAATTTGTGGGAGTAACGCCAATTGTACGCTTTTCCATTTTTTCAATTTTTATTAAATAACTCGTTGCAAACATTTTTATATGCTGCTGATGAAATGATTGAATTGTTAATGCAGCAAAATTTGATCAATATTTGCAGCAGCAACAAAGCACTGCAACGCAATTTCCTTAGTAAATTGAAAATTCTCTTGCAACAAAACTAAATTAATGCACTCGTCTATGCACATTTTGATATGTTGCAGCAACAACCCACGCAAATGTTTACAATGCAGCATGATCAGTTAAGAAGAAAAAATGAGAAAATTAAAAAAGAAAACGCAAACCAAATCAAAATGCAAAATATACAAAAAAAAAATGCAATGTTGACTGCATAAATAAACAAATAAGCGTATAAAAAAGCCGAGTCAATCAAAAGTTTTGATGCTTATTTTTGTTTTCAACATTTTTTGTGGCTGATTGGTGCATTACTGTTTATTGGCATACGTACAACATGTTGCAAACACGCAAACATAAATTAAAACAATAAATTCTCAGTTTAACAAAACATTCCGCAAAAATTTGTTAAGTTGCAAGTTATGCTTTGCATTAACACGAAATGTTAAGGTTGGTTGCACTGCTGACTGATGGCTACTTCGGTGGCACATGCAGTTTGCATTTGTTTCTTTGGTCTTGCAACATTTGTAAAAATTAACAAAAAAAAAAATTCCAAAAATGCAAATTTGTTGAAGAAATATTTTTAAAAGAATGTTGCAAACTTTTTGCAATTATTTTTAATTGAGGCATTAATTAATCGACATTTATTGATGTTTCCTTTTATTGTTTATAAATTATTAATAGAAATCATGAATTATTATTTTTATGTTGTAATATATTAAAAAAACTTTTTATTTTCACAAATAAAATTATGCGTACAACTGCAAATACTTTTACGTGTTAATATAGCAGTTTCCTCCTACTTATTTTATCTTCATTTAAATTACTCAATTTCCTTTAGTAAATATTGAAAAGTATTATGGAAAATTTACTGAACTTAATGAAGTAATAATTTTGCCGTATTGCTAGCTTATGTTATATGTAACCAAAATTATAATTAGCTACCAATAAATTAACGGAAATTGATTTTAATTAAAAAGCGGAGAAAGTTTTCCCTTTAAACATTTTTAATTGTCATTACGATAAATTGTTAAAAGTAATTAATTATATATTTAAATATAATCTGAACTT